GTTTTGAATGGATTGTTGTCACTTTTTTCACATTTTGAATGAATTGTTTCTTTTATTTTTGTGTATGGTTAATAACCGAATAACCAAACCAAAACCGAAACCGATAACCACTAAACCGGTAAATGTATATTATATTTGGTTTGGTTTGGTTTTGATAATTTTAAAACCGATAAAGTTGGTTTGGTTTTGGTTTTGACCAATAACCGATCCAAACCAACCCGTGAACACCTCTAATCGCAACTATTATTGCATCTAATTTTTTTCAATACATTTTCTAATTGTTTAATGTTGTCTTTGATTCCTGTTTGACACAATAATTGCAAATTTGCAATTGAGATTGAAATTTACGTATTGAATTATTGGATTTTGGACTATTATGTGTAGATGTTCTAGAATTTGACATATTGGAGATGGTGAGAAGAACGAGTTGTTGTGGTATTTGTGAGAATATATTTAGGTTATAAGATACATAATTAAGAGTTTGCATTGGAAGAGATAGCTTATTGTTTTGTAAAATAATTGGGTTGTGCACAATATGTTTATGAAGGCAGTATTTTTTTTAAAACTATTTGGTTGAAGAAAATGGCTAAGAGCTTATTCTAGCAATTAGAACACGAACTTAGTGTGCTTTGATTTAACTTTTTTTGCTATGTTATGATATTGTGATGAGGCAACTAGGATCTGTGAAAAATAGACAGATTGGATTCAGGTGAGAATAATTTTTTATTGGATGTCTTCGTAATTATTGGATAATAAGATATACCAACACCATTAATTCATGTCCATCTGTGAAGCAAAAATGCAACAACTAACGGCCACTTTGTGCTGTCTTGTTAATGATATCACTATTTGAAATGTAACTGCAAATTAGATTATTTTCTTCATTCAAATGTAAACTCAAGAAGTTCTTCGCACAATCTAAACTCCATTGTTGATCGAGTATTAGACTTTTTTATTAATCTTGCACGAGTTTGTTTTGAATATGAGAGCATGCATCCCAATATTAGGGGAAAAGAAGCTAAGGTAGTTTATGTGTGTTGCATAATGGGGGCATGATGCATCTCGTCAGGCTGTTGGGGTAATTGAATGTCCAAAATCTCTACTCTCCGGTTCATTTTTTTCCTGATTCTTATGGCTATATCTGCCGGATCAAACCGCCCCATTATGCTTATTCTCTTCTCTTGCTTCTCAATCAGATGCATCTCTATTTCTACACATATATAATAGAGTTTAATTTAATTTGGATCCATCAACAAAGAATTAATTATATGTGCCAGCTTACCTTTCATTCGCAGAATGATTCTTCTCATTTTCTTGCAACAACAAGGGCAATCTAGATTAACCCGCATCACCATGCATACCTGCTGCCATTATATATATATATATCAATTGCAATTATAATTATATATATATATGTACGTACCTTCCAAAAATTATATATAATATATTGGAGTAGTTACCTGTCCTGACATGAAATAAAGGTACAATGTTATGTTATGTTGGGACAAAACCTCAATTTTTAGTGATGATATATGAACCTTAGCCTTTTGTAATAAGTAATAATACTAATACTAGCTAGAGGAATCATTCTTTTAATTACTTGGCCCGCTAAGAAGCCTTTGGAATGAGGGTTACGTTACGTCATACCACAATTAAAATTTACTAGGCTTCTTTTTCAAGGGTAGGTGTTACCTAATATTAGATTCATCAAAATTCCATTCTTTTCTTGAACCAAACCACACCCATTAAGAAATGTGACAAGCTCATTTTACCTAATTCTTACTTCTAATTATCGTCAGTGTTAGATTAAAAATGTTTAGTTTTGAAATGTATAAACATATATATTTATATATAGGACTACTTTAAATCCCATCCATCTCAAATTTAAAGGACCATGTATGTCGTGCTAATATATAACAAGTATATTCCGGGTTATGGATCAAATGTAAATGACTTATTAAAGCAAAACAAATGAAAGTAACTTTCATATGTCATTTCTGTAACTTGAATGATTGGAATAATCCCAATAGGCATTCAATAGGTAAATATAACCTTAATCGTAGCATAAAGAGCATCCTGATTCTCTGTGTGTGCTTGAGACTTGATAAACGTATTTTGAGCTTAATGCTCGAAATTAAAATTTGACTCAAAAAGCACATAAAACTTATTAAAGCTTTTGGAATGTCATTCCTTAACCAAATCAATTTTGAATCCTTACCCCTTAATTTTTGGTCTGCTTTCTATTTTTCATCAATGATCCATTTCATAGCTAGGCCAGAAACTATCAAATATTTGATTGATTCCAAATGCTTTTAATCGGGATAGAGGCTAAGGTAAAAGTGATAAAAAATGATAGATGTCTTTAAAGACTTTGGTGAATAACAAAAAAGAAGAGGAGATTATGGAGGTGTTTGTTATGAGGAAATTATTTTAAAAAAAAATTGAAGTATTGTTTCTACTTATTTTCTATTGATAGATAAATATACATAAAATATTATATAGTATAATTTAAGCCAAAGAGAGTGGGGGGTTGGGGTCGGATGGTGGAGTTGTTAGGAAGATACTACAATGTTGATATTAGATTGGAATTATAAAGTAGTAAATAACTTATCACAAACACTGTGTCGTGGCGAGCCACTGCCTTGAAAGTGATTTCAGCTCGACTCCGATGCAAATCGTTGTAGCATGTCGCTTCCCAAGGTTCCACAATTACTCTCAAACACGTGCCCTCGTGACTGAGAGTTTGGAGGTTGCCCAAAACAAATTGCTCAAAAATATTCTAAAAATAAGAAGGAATGAGGGAAATGTTTTCCTTTCCTTTTTGTTGGTTGTCTTAGCATTCACAAAAGACACTACTTATATAGGAAACTTCTGTAGGAGTTATTGTAGATTCAAGAGTTAATTTTGATAACACATTGTAAATCTTAATGACATTAAAGACCATTGCATCACATTCTACAGAAACTCTCGTTTTGTTTTGGAACGGAAAATTTATTCTCTTTATAACGTATTTTACTTTGTATTTCTTTGCATCAATAAATGAATAAGTGAGAATTAATATCACAGGAGTAAGAAAGGCTGAAGTAAGTATCAGTATGCAAAGTTACTCATGAAACTTGTTTTTGTTAATTTTGTTAGAGAAGCCAACACACACACATATATATATATATATATATATATATATATATTTTAAAATAAAACAAAATATTTTAATCAGTGCAAAAGATTTTTTAGGCAAATGATGATGAGCATGATAATGGAAAGATTTAAATCATTGTAAAGGAGTGAGGAATAAGGTACAATGTTTTTAATAAAATTGAGTCAAGAGGTGCAAGAGGAGAGGAAGAAGCGCATGAGGAAAGCAAATATTGAAGCTTCTTCTTTTGCATATTCACAAGTTAGAGTCACCTTCTTCTCCACCACACTTCCTAATATAGATTTCGTTTCTCCTGCAATCCAAACCAAAATAATACTTAAATATACCATCAACCTAAGCCTTCAAAGTTTTGATAAATATACGTATGTACTATCAAAAATAATTTTAAAATATTTATCATTTATTTCTCATTATATTTTTATGTTGACCCTTCTTTTTAACAAACAGGCACATGACCAGATTAAAAATAAAATAAATAACACTTTACAAACTCATTAATTTAACATTTCCCCAAGTGTGGGAATGAGTTAAATGGGTGGGTTTGAAAAGTGAATCGAAAAGAGACAAATTTATGAAAGAATTGAAATTAATTACTCTATAATAGTCTAATTTGATTTGAAACGGAGAGAATATATGAAGAGTTCATTTTATCTTTAAAACGGAGAGAATATATGAAGAGTTGGTAATCGATTTAAGATGAGATTTTATTAAAGGCTTTGATATTCTGCTTTAAAGAGAGGATAAATTTGATATCATATTTAGTTGTAGAGGTTAAGGGATTTGAAAAAAGTTTCATCAATTTGGGGAAAATAGTACATAATGGAGAAATTTTTTAAAACTTGCAATATTATCATTTGTACAAGTAGACCTCTCCAATGAGCAGAGGTTGACGAGGAATGGGCTGCATTCGCATGCGGCATGCCAAGTGTGATAGAGCTCCACTTAAAACGGAGGTCTTTGTGAACCGCTTAAAATACCCTTCAACTAGGTAAATTGGTATAAAATTATTATTCTTCTATCGGACCTAAAATGTCCTTAACGTCAACCTTTTGACTCTATTTTGCCTTCATCTTTAACAACCTAAATTCATTAATGACGTGTCACTATTTTATTAGCTACTAAATAAATTATTAGCTACCATAATAATTAATTTAACTAATTAAAAAAGAGCAACTTTCACATATAGCAAATACAAAAATCATATTTGTATGATATAGCTATAGTTTGCATAATTGCGCTCCATAGCAAACATAAAAAATGTATATTTCGCTATACATATATAAAAGAAAGCAGTTGTATAAAAAAGGATAATTTTGTACCAATTCGCATAGTTAAGGAATATTTTAGACCGTTTTTCCGTATTTGTTATATAAATTAGAAATATTTGTATTTATACTTAAAATATAAGGATGAATATATAGAAAGGAGCATATTTTTTATTTGGTTGGATGATTTGTAAAACTAATTAAAGGTAAAAGGGCGAAGACATAATTATTGGATAAATTTTCCAAGAAATTCGGTGGAATCCAATGCCAAATAAAGCGAGTGGTCCAAGAAATCAAGTTGTATGAATAGTGACTTGTCGTCAGCATATGTTTTCACTCTCCACAATCTTAACAACCACATTAGTACACTCCTAGGCAGCTCCAAGAAGAAAAAAAAAATGCATAAATACAACAGGTCAAGCATTTAAAAACATGAATCACAATCGTATAGCCAAACACTAAAGTTAGTGGAAGAAGCAAAAAACTCCAAATTCATCTATGCTTTGTTGTTGAATACTACTATGTTATAGTGAAATTCCATCTGCTAGAGTAACTACGTACTTTAGCAATTAATTAAGACATATATAGATAATAGATACAATTACAAAGAAAAGAGAAAATGAGCTACTTATTAATTACTCTTATAAAAAAAAGTAAAACATATCAAATAATGCTCACCTTTCCAACTTGCTCATCATCAGAATCTAGTGTCCTCTTTTTATATCGATCAACACTACTAAGGCATTTTCATGAAACTAAAATACCATACAAAGTCAACTTGCTAATTAATTTGAGTACAAAGACCAACTCAGTTCACAATGACTTGATACATTATTTTTACAAAAACATACAGGAACAAATTAGTTAGTTAGTTTTAATATCTCTTCTCCAAAATGCTCCCTTCAAATGTTGGTCGCCCTAGGTAATGAAATAACAAAAGCTTTAAATTATCGGGGTCTCCTAAGCAAAACCAAAAATTGAACATCAACAACAAACCCAAATATGAAGAAAGTGAAAACTTCACAACAGACTTGAATCTATTTTTTCTCAAGATTATCAAATTGGGCCAAAAACCAATTTTAATTAATTTTATACATTACCTGAGATTTTTTAGTAGACGATGGAAGAAACAATAAAGGAATAATTGTTCACTTGATATTATAACTACAGCAAGAAGAAATCGTAGAGAACAATGAATGAATAAGTGAAAGATGAAGGGAGACATAAACAATTAAGACACCTCTACTAAAACACGTAAGCTATGATGAAGAATTGAAAACACAAATACACCCTCAGATTTGAAATAAAATACATTAAGTATGAAATAAGCCATTTCTAATATAATAGTAATATATACGTGTCCGCGCGTTGCGCAGAAATTATTAAAAAATATTTAATTGTTAGAATACATTACACTATTTTGATTTTATAAAAATATAAATGTCATCTTATTTTCGATGCAATGTACTTAATAACATAATTTTATATAACCAAAGGAACAAATCATCGCATGTGCACGATCATCAAATAATATTTTTGATAAAAATAAATATTATAATTATATATTCTTAAACAAACCTTTCAAAAATATATCAGTATTAAAATTTAATAAGAATGCATTAATTAAGAGAATATATGGGTACACTTTCTCAAATTAAAATATGAAAAAAAAAACACAATTATTCATTACTCATTCTTTCAATGGAGAAATTTTGTGTAAACTAAATAATTTATTTATTTTTAAATTTTTCTCATAATAATATTAAAATATTTATCTAATAATAAATTCTTGTGTTAATAGTTAGTTAAAAATCTGAGTACAAAAATACATCACAACTCTTTATTCATTTCAAATTGATCAAATTTTTACTCTTCTACTACTCTAATTGTTATCTAAGTAAAGATAAACATTTTTTTAGAAAAAATGACTAATTCCTCACGTACCGGAAAAAAGTGACACTTAAAAGTACCTAATTTTAAAATATTAAATATATATTTTTAAATCTAATTTTATAAATTTAAAACTGCTGAACTCTCGATGTGTGCGTTTGTTAAATTGATTATTATTTTTTCATGATAATTATTTATTTTTAAACGTCACATAGATGAATATTT